AAGAAAGAAAGAAAGAAAGAAAGAAAGAAAGAAAGAAAGAAAGAAAGGAAGAAAGAAAAATATATAACATGAAAATTTTATAAGGGTAACAGGAAAATTAAGCAGAGGCTACAAAATCTATCAGAAGATTAGAGTACATCTGTCTTAAAAGATGTGGTTTAATAAAGACGTGAAGGAAGTGGGGAGAGAGCCAGAGGAAGAGCAGATGCAAAGGCCCTAAGACGGGACGGACTATGCCTGGTGGGCTGAATCAAGAGGGCAATAGAAAGAGAAGAGGCTAGGGAAAGAATAGAGGCCTGTGGGCCATCACAGGTCTCTGGCTTTAACACTTTAGAAAGCTTTAACCCCTTCATCAGTGCTACGTAGTGCAGTACTTTTATGTGAAGCTCACCTGTATTCTCTTCATATATATTTGAATATGGTATTGAACAAGAATGTTTATTTCTATACAAATCTTGTTCAAAATCAGGGCTGTAGCAGTCCATTCAAACAAAAATTATATATTTTGGGGATACCTAGGTGGCTCAGCAGGTTAAGTGTCTGCATTTGGCTCAGGTCATGATCTTAGGGTTCTGGGATCGAGGCCCATGTCAGGATCCCTGTTCAGCAAGGAGTCTGCTTCTCCTTCTTCCTCTGCCTCTCCCCCTGGCTTGTGGTCTCTCTCTGTCTGACTCACTCTCTCTTTCAAATAAATAAATAAAATCCTAAAAAAAACTATACATTTTTATGGCAACAAATGTGGTTTAAGTTAAATTATATGCCAGACAAGACTTAGGTATACCTGCTTACTTTTCCCACAACAAGCAAATTCATAACATATTGAAAACATTAAATCGTAATTAGCTCTAACCATCATTTTAGGTTTAGATTACTTCTAATCTAACATATTTATTGATAAGGAATGCAAACTATTTTTTAAATATTGTTATTCCATGCAACTCAAAATAAAAATTGTCATTTACATCCCTTTCAGGCTTCCAAAGTGGTTAATTAATAACATCTTGAGACTTTGCAATAAACTGCTATCTTTTACAAAATTAGTATTTTTTTCTTACTGGACAACCAAACAAAATTCAACTATAAGGTGGGTATTGAAACTGACATGACTGAAAATAGCATCCAGAGACCCCAATATCAAATTATTATGACCATTAAAACAGTCTCATGGATCTCACAAATTAGATTAATAAAAAATAAATGCTATAAATTTGAAATTATAAAATAAATTTATATTCATGAAATTGCCCCTTTATCTGGTTAATCTATGTAATTTTTACAGACTTGGTGCCTAGTGAGAAATGGATGGAAGGTGATTCTGGAGAAGTCATAAGTGCAAGCAGGTAAGGGAGTGTATTCTCTTCTTTTCAGTCTTCATTTATTCATCTCCCCAGGTAAATAGAAAAATGAGTTTTTCATTAAAAATATATATATATTTCCATCCTTATCATTATCTGGGGGCCCATTCTGGAAGGAGCCACTGATGCTAAAATCATTTGGTGAAAGTTTGCTGGAAAACAGAATATTCATATTATTTATATGATGACAAAGAATTACCTCATAGGTTAGTTAATTTATAAAGGAGAAATGGTACCTTTGTGAAAGAGAGAACTTTCATAAACTACTTTAACCAAGTGATTAAGTTTTTTATCATGTGCCTCCAGAGATGATGAAATGGCAACTATACAATGCCACCTATGTAGTATTGTCAAAATTTCCAGAATCTAATCATGAGGAAATAATCAGTAAAATCTGAACTGTAAGCTATTCAAAGACAACTGGACTATACTCTTCAACATGTTTCTGTCATAAAAGACAAAAAGTAGCTCCAGGGGTGCCTGGGTGGCTCAGTTAGTTGAGCATCCGACTCTTGATTTAGGCTCACCTCATGATCTCAAGATCCTGGGATCAAGCCCTACATCAGGCTCCATGCTCAGTGGGGAGTCTGCTTGAGATTCTCTCTCTCCCTCTCCCTCTGCACCTCCTCCCCCTGTTCTCTCTCTAAATAAATAAATAAAATCTTCTTTTTTTAAGTGGTTCCAAATGAAGGAAGGCTGAAAATATATCACAACTAAATGTAATACATGAACCTTGATTGGGTTTTTTAAAAAGCTATAAAGGACATTTAAAGGACAATTAAAAAATCTTTAATCTGTACTCTATATTAGATGTTATTGTATATTATACCACTTTTTAAATTCTTGGAAGTGAAAATGGCATTGTGATAATGTGGGAAAATGTCTTTATCCTTAGGTGATAAATACTGAGATATTTAGAGGAGGAGTAACATGATGTTATACTTTATTTTCAAATGGCTCAAAGAAAAAAAGGAAATTGGAAGAGATATGTATTTAGATGGATAGATAGATGATAGATATATTTCGATAAATAGATGATAACAAATAAAGAGCACAAAAATGTTATAAAGTTTAACCATTTGTGAATTTAAATGAAGGGTATGTGAGTGTTCATTGTGCTACTCTTTCAACACTTCTTCAGGGTTGGATGTTTTCAAAACAAAGATTGGGGAAGGCAAAAGGGAGAGACTGGTGTCACTGAACAACAGAGTCTGAATAATTCTGACTTCAGAGTCACTGTTCACATCAGGGGGATGTTTGCCCACACTGGTCACCAAATGAGGCACATTAGCAGCGTTAGTCAAAACAGCCTAAATCAGGCTGTAGAATGGCTGTAGACTAATTAATTAGCCTCATCCAACCTCAGTCTGGTTAATTTTATTGCCTTAATTCACGTAAAAAAAAAAAAAAAAAAAGTTGCCCAGACAAAAATGTAAACCTCTCTACCGGAACTCAAGAAAGAGCTTTAGAGCACATGGAATTTAGCACCAAAGGAATTATGAACTGATATTTGCTCAGATTTGTTATGTTTATTTACTCACCCTAAGAAAAATATTTGCCTTTTGTAACAAGATTCTTTGAATTCACGGGAGAGCATAGCTGATCCTGCACATTTGGTGGTGGGGCATATAGGGGAGAAGAAACATACATTTTGGAATCCTACATCACGGCCTCCAGGAATTAGAGGCCCTTTGCTTTCTACCCTCAAGATGCTACTCTCA